CATAGAACCAACCAAACCTAATAGGTCCAGCATAGGAGACTATAATGCAGGAAATTTCCCACCTAACCTCGGTCAGGTGGAGAGATGGTGGTTACAGAGGAATTAGGAAGGTGAAGATAAGGGCAGATAAGAAATTAGTAGATACTGAGGTATCACTCTAATCCGGACAAAAGCGCTGACTCCCTGTCTGGATGACATCCCTTAGGTCTTTTACTTACCTTCCTTTGACCCGCGACTCTTCCTACCTCTACCCGCGGGCGGGGGAGGAGCGCGAGCCGCGACACTAGCCTTTCTGGGAAAACTAGGCAACTATTGATGACACAGCTAACTTAACTGCCACAGATTAAAAATGGCAAGCAAGGAGTCAAGATTTGTTTGGTTAGCATGGTCCAGTTTGAGGTGAAAATTACTTAAATTACTTATATTTCCCCTTCTGCTGTCCTTGCTGGCTATTTAACAAGATCTTTAGTTTTTTTTAATTAATAAACAGATACTGCTTTGATTCACTTTCTGTCACTTTACTTGTCTCTTGACTGCACTTGTCCCTTTGTCCTCTTCTTCTGTCCCAGCTGTCAGTCAGACTAATCTTTTATGTAATTATGTGTCGATTACTAACTTCTTTTCATGTTCTGTCTCTTCTGTGCAGTCTGTCAGATGTTAGATACTCAAACACATCATGTGGTTCATGTGGCAGGTAAGGGAACAAGTTGGAAACAAATTAAGTTTGTGAGCTTTGGTGCAGAGTTTAAATGCAAAAAAGGTCATGTGGGTTCAAGTCTGGCCTGTGTCATTTCCTAAGTTCTTCATCCCATCTTTTCTTGTTCATCTCTTGGTGTCTACATAAAAAAAAATGTTTTAAAGCATAAAAGCATATTTAACACATTTTAATACTAATATATTTTAAACATTTGTAATCAATTACAAGAACGAGTTAAAAATTAAATGAAGACAACTTTTATTTTATTTTATTTTATTTTATTTTATTTTATTTTATTTTATTTTATTTTATTTTATTTTATTTTATTTTATTTTATTTTATTTTATTTTATTTTATTTTATTTTATTTTATTTTATTTTATTTTATTTTATTTTATTTTATTTTATTTTATTTTATTTTATTTTATTTTATTTTATTTTATTTTATTTTATTTTATTTTATTTTATTTTATTTTATTTTATTTTATTTTATTTTATTTTATTTTATTTTATTTTATTTTATTTTATTTTATTTTATTTTATTTTATTTTATTTTATTTTATTTTATTTTATTTTATTTTATTTTATTTTATAAGCCAAAAACTATTCAGAACACTTGTACAGAAAGTGCGTTATCTCTTTATGTTTTTAGGTGCTGGAACACTTTGGAATTTCAAACAGTGTCTGTTTGTTTGATTCACTGGTATAAAGCCAGGATTCATTCCCAGCTCTGAGTTCTTACTCCGATAATATGTGTAATGAATCACAGCAGACTTAAACATAGAGGCAAGTGTAGGGAGCGAATGACAGCATGTCACTGACCTCTTTTAATGAAGATGTGGGAATGCACAGAGAAACAAACCCCTGCATGTCTTGAATCATATCTTCCAATACAAGGTCATTTCTCGTACATCTGCAATCAATGATCTGAACTGGCAAGCTGCTTTATTTGGAGAGAAGAGTTTATTTTGTCACTCACTCGGGTGAAAGCTGGATTTAGCAGAGCACCTGTGTGTGTCTGTGTGTCCTTGGCTGTTTGGGCAGTCGAATGAGGCTTCACATTGGCCTCTTCACAATGTATGTTGTGGTCCTGATGGAGGAAATACATGACATAATTTGGAATCAGAGCTTCACCCCCCCTTTGGCTGTGTGTACTAGCTGATGATAAGTGTGATAAATGAAGTGAATGGAAAAGATGGCCATTGGTTCTTTTGGATAAATCGACACTTTAGCTTTATGCTGTTAAGAGGAAACTTCAGGACAAAGAATCCTACAGATCAAATCGGTTATATGGTTGAACTTTGAATTAAATTCTCTTTTTTCCTTCCTTTAGCAATGGCTATGCAGGTACGTATCCTGGCAGGTCATCTGGGGTGTCCAGTGCCCCCTCCACACCCTACAACCGCTTCGGCCCCTCAGGAGGAACACCTGCAGACAGTAAGCCCGACAGGTGAGCCACTGTTCTTCTTTGATGTGTATATGGCTCTGTTCTGCACAGTAATCTTCAAATGTAACAGTTCTAAGGCTAAAATGGATATTATTATAAAAATAACATCAGAGAATATTCTAAACATATTTGAAAGCTGTTCTCTACTATGATTGGATAACTTCCTCATACCAGCATTACATTGTTGTTCATCAGGGCGATCTAAATACTAAATGAATCAAGTATGTTAAAACAGTATATTTAACTCTTCAAATGCCCGAGAATATAATTCTTGCTATATTGAATCATATATTGAGGTATTGTTGTCCTGAAATTCTGTTCCTCTTTGGTTTCTCTGGTCCTCCAGGTCTACTCTAGGTGGATTGTTAACCTCCTCCTACAGGCAGCACCAGGAGTCTCTAAATGCTGAACGTGAGCGGAGGCGCCTGGAGAGAGAGGAGAGACTTCAGCGCATTGAAAGAGAGGAGAGAAACCGTTTCAAGTTTGTGAACTTTCTCAGCATTTCATTTTGATGTAGTGTGTGTTTTCACCCAGGGCTACATTATTTCATGAATATGACAAAAACATCACTGCTTCCAACGTCATCGAGTATTTCTCATGTTGGAGATGGCCATGAGAAACATTTTGTCCAGCAGTCTAGAAAAGCAGCTGAGGCCTACGTCCAAATTTTATCAGAGATCTAGGAGTTTTCCCGACTGGACAAGTTATTGCTTCTTATTATGGTCTTTCAAAGGAAAACAGCTTTCAGACCAGACAGTGAATAATCATGGTGGGGTGCAGGAAGACAAATGCTTGTTCTCTCTGTATGCTTGTCAGCCCTGCCACATACCAAGTCTTTTAGTCAGCCTCTACTGTTGTGTAATAACAAATTTAAACACCAACTTGAATGGTTACTACTTGATTAACAATAAACATTATAACTCCAAATGTCTTTGGTAGACATATAAAAGGCATTCTTTTTCACTTTTTACATGTGTGCTCATGTTGATTTTCTTTATTGCAGTCGGGATTATGAGGACAAGAGAGAAGAGGTCAGACAAGCTCGAGAAGAAAGGTACATTCCAGAATGACTTTCACTTTTAGAGCGTAATATAATATAATATAATATAATATAATATTCAAAGATTTGGGGTTAGTAATATTTAACATTTTATGTTTTTTACTGTAAAAAAAACTGTGAAATGGTAAAATATTATTAGAATAAAAAAACTATTTTCTATTTTAATATATTTTAAAATGTCAATTTTTCTGCAGCCATTATTCCAGTCTGATCCTTCAGATATCATTCTAATATGCTGATTTCCTGCTCAAAAACATTTATTATTATTATCACAATTGAAAATGGTTGTGCTGCTTAATGTTTTTGTGGAAATTGTGGATACAGTTTTTTCAGTTTTTACATTTTTCAGGATGTTATGATAAATAGAAAGAATGCTTATGTTTCTGACACTGTAATAATGGACAGAAAATCTTTCTGCTTTCTTTATAATGAATTATATCATACACTTATTGCTCATACAGTATCACAGATTATTTTTTATCATATTGGATAAATTACTGCAGTCCAATGCAATTTTGTCATAAAGCTTTGAGCCGTGTTTAATATCAATTATCAGCACAATGATAATAATACACCTTGAAAACATTTATTAGACTGTGCAGCAGATGGGAAGCGTGTCGCCACGCGCTGCAGGTGAAATATGTTGCTTCAGGGCCCCGTTATGCCTGCAGTATATTAAGACTTTGAAAGACGGCAGGACAAGGTGTGTAATTGTCTTTAGACATGGGCTTTTTGCATTTACAGTAAATGTTAAAAACATGCATCCTGGCAAGTGGAACAGCTCAATGTCTTTGCATTTATTCAAGATCTTATCGAAAGTCACGGTCTTCCAATCTTTTTTTCTTCAATTTGATGTGAACCTTACAGTATAGTATAATGATGTTATGAAATTAAATGGTAAGCCAACTTCAGGTGATAAAAAGGAAATGTCGTATAGTTATGAAACATCTGGTTCTAGTTTTTTGTAAATGTTTTATATTAGAACTGGGGCATATTTTTTGAGTTGATAAGTTAGGAGGGGAGCAAACAGCATCTGGCTTGACACCTGTTAAGGGAGAGTTATAGGTTACATAATGGGAGGATTTGGTGTGGAAGAATTTGGAAGTAAAGTTTGTTTATGTACAAAGCTAGAAATCAATATCCTCTTGCATGCTGAATGCACTGAAATTGTCTCTGTTTTATTTATCAGTCCACAAGCTGTTTCAGGCCTTCAACGCTCAGAATAGCAAACATTGTGATTTGTATTTAAAGCAACCTATAGTACATTAGTACAAGTACAATTCCCCTGGAGCAAATATGAATCATTAAATTATTAAAATCATTATAAAAATCTAGTTTAAAACACACATGCCATAGAAATTTAATCTTTGATTTCACCTTGAATACATGTGAGTATCTTAATCACGACTTTCAAAAAAGCTTTTAGAAATTAAGTATTAATTCATAAATATAATTAAGTTTTAGGGCAGTGAAACCACATGACATTTTACAACTTTTTTTTTTTTTTGCTGGACCATAATATTTTTCAAAAATTAATAAGCAGCCAGTAAAGCTGTTTTGTTAAAATTATTTTTGTAATTATTTTTAATAAGAATTGTTTTTTTTTGTTTTTTTATGATATCAGGACAGTTGTATCACCTAATATATGTGTATATATATATATATATGTATATATATATGTGTGTGTGTGTATTTTTTTTTAATCAAAATTAATTTTTATTCAGAATTGAAAAACTTACTCATCATAGAAGAGGTTTATTCAAATAAGATTATGGATAAGTTAAATTTTTACAATTAGTAAAACATTAAGTTACATATCCTTTTTGAATTCGGACATGAAAATGAGCATTGTGTAATTGCCCTCATACATAATGTTTTTAGTGACATTTATTGTTTTATGTGATGTGTACAGATATAAGCAATTGGAGCGGCTGGCAGCAGAGGAAAACAAAAGGGAACAACCAAGATCGACAACACGGGGGCGAACAGAAATCACCCTCAGCCTGAGTTCACGAACCTCCAGCAGCTCATTGTCTCGTTCTGCCACCCCTTTGACTGCAGAGGCTCAAGAGGATAAACGCTCGGTTCCACATCCAACACGAGGTGAGATTCCTCTATGTGTACAGTAATATAGTGTGGCATTTCTGGAAAAAACTCTGGTCCTTATTTTTCCCCCAAAATGTGTAATCGAGCGGTTATACCACACACATTTTTTGTAAAGAAAACTATGTAAAGCCACTGGGGCAGTCAGCCATTAGGAAAAACTACATTTATTTGAGGTTTATTGACCTCAAATATTAACCACAATTTCAGAAATTGGGTCAGTGGTCATCCACATCTGAATCTGAGTGGCTGGAGTTGGTATGAACAGGCTGAACGACTGGAGCCTGGTCAATCATTCAGTCTCACTGTGGAGTTTCCGACTGGCTTAAGACTCACACATTCACATGAGAATTGCACGGCTGGGTACCCAATGTTTCAACCTTTTAATTTTAGTCGCATTTTAGTCTTAGTTTTAGTTTTTCCATGTACATTCCCATTCATCTCAATGGCAGCTCTTAGGAAGTGTACAATTTGAATTGTGTAAAGGGAAAAGTCATTTTCATGTTTTTAAAGTAATAGTAACCCAAAAATGAAATTGGCATAATTTACTTATTCTCATATAATTCCAAACCCATGTCAATTACGATCTTCTGTAGAACACAAAAAATGATTTTTGAAAAATGTTTTAGCTGTTCTCCATAACAACATTAGACACTATTGACTTTTATTGAGTGGACAAAAAAAAAAAAAGCTCATAGAAGTCATACAGATTTGTAGTGACATAAGGATCAGTAAATGATGACAGAATTTTCATTTTTGGTGAACTATACCTTTAAAAACTGTCCAAAAAAGAATTGGCCACTAGCAAAAATGTATATAATTCAATGAAATACGTGTGATATGGCTGATATAGCAATTAAAATGTTTTAATAAAATTAGGGAGTAAATTTAAAAGTAAAGTAGTTATTTTCCATGGAGATTTGGGGTGGTTAAAAACACTGGTTTGTAACTGTAACAGTTATGGACGTCTGTGATTTGTTTCAGTTTCTGTTCTCCTGCCCTGTTTAGTTCTGTTTCTATGGATTTTTATTAATTGCAGCTTTCCCTCGTTAATTAGCCCCATTATATATACTCCCTGTTTAGTTCAGTCCAAAGCCGGTTATTTGCTTTACATTTGTGTTGTGCTACACACCTGCTCCTCGAATTTCTACTGTTTATTTCTTGTGGATTTATCATTAAAGAACTTTTGTAGAATATTCTCCATTGTGCGCTCTTTACAGCACCAGCACTTAACAGTAACCAATAGGTTAAATATTTAAACCATACAGTCCATGAACTTTGAGCAAGAGACTTAAACCCTATATTGCTCCATGAACAACAACAAAACAATGCGGCGGTGTGACTGAATATTTTCTAGAATAACAGGGTGATATTTGATCATAGTACAAAATCAGAAAGAAAGAAAGACATCCATCAGCCGTGACATGATAATTGAGTGGAGAGGCTTGAGGTTGTCCATTCAGTGAGGCCCTGGTTATATCATATTCATGTGGTTTCTGAAGGCCAGAGTATTGGTCACACACTGGTCAGTGAATGAAAGCATGACCAGCCATGTGTAAAAGGATAGCAGTGTGGATCAGACTGTGGTTTCAGAGGTCTGAGCTCCTCCAAGACTATAAATTGAAAATATGGCACAGATCAACTGGTAAAATAAGACAAAAATACCTATTAATAATAGTTTTGTGTGTGTGTGTGTGTGTGTGTGTGTGTGTGTGTGTGGAATATACAGTGGGTATAGAAAAGAATCACCCCCTTTAAAACAATCTTATTTTGTTCCTTTGCAGTCTGAAATGAAGACAGACACAGTTTTTTTGTTTTATCCATCTGTATTTACTCAGTACAATTTATAACATCCAAGTTAAAGATATAACACCATCATGTCAGAAAAAAAAACAGACTTGTAAACTCAATCTGGTGTAGCTAATCACCTTCTCAATGGCACACAAAGCCATTTGACTTTCAACTGTGATCTGCTGTGGTCATTTTGATTAGCTCAAAAAGGCCTTATCAATGCCTAGAAGCACAGTGAAGTTTATTATTAAGAAGTGGAAGGTATTTGGTACAACACAGAGCCTCCCTGGATCAGGATGTCAGGATACTGGTCAGAGAGGCTGCCAAGAGGCCTACAGCAACTCTGAAGCAGTTGCAGAAATGTATGACAAAGAGTGGTCATTGTACGCATGTGACAACAATATCACAAATTCTCCACAAATGTGGCTTGTGTGGTAGGGTTGCAAGAAAAAAGCCACTCCTCAAGAAAGGCCACATGCAGTTACGACTGAGCTTTGCCAAAACGCACCTTGAAGATTCTGAGGCAGATAAGACTAAAATTATATTATTTGGCCTCAACACCAAACGATATGTCTAGCGGAAATCCAATACCATCTAAATAATACCATTCCTACAGTAAAGCATGGAGCTGGTAATATCCTGTTATGGGGGTGTTTCTCTGCAGCAGGGACTGGAGCACTTTTCAGGATAGAAGGAGAAATGGATGGGGGAAAATACCCTCGAATTCTTCAGGAAAATCTGCTGCCCTCTGCCAGAAAGTTGTCAATGGGAAGAAGGTTTACTTTCCAACATGACAATGGACAAAGCACACAGCAAAACTGAGCATACAGTGGTTGAAGGAGAAAAAGGTGAATGTTCTTGCATGGCCTAGTCAGAGCCCAGACATAACCCCCATTGAAAATCTATGGAATGACTTGAAGGCTGCAGTTCACAAATGTTCACCATCAAATTTAACTGAACTTGAGCAGTTCTGCAAAGAAGAGTGGGCAAATGTTGCAAAGTCTAGATGTGCAAAGTTAGTAGAGACAGAGACAGATCCCAACAGACTAAAGGCTGTAATTAAACAAAATACTGACACAAGGGGGTGATACTCAGTGATTCTGTTTTTTTATTTATTTTAATTTTTTTTCCCTGACATGTTGGTGTTATATCTTTCACTTGGCTGTTATAAGTTGCACTGAGTAAATACAGCTGGATAAAACAAAAAACTGTGTCCGTCTTCATTTCAGACTGCAAAGCAACAAATTGTGATTATTTTAAAGGGGGTGATTCTTTTCTATACCCACTGTATTTACATAATTAAAGTGTAACATATTGTATACTATATATACTCTCTATACTATATCCGTATTATTTTTCCATAATGACATTTACTGTTAACAGCTCTCAGTCATTCAGCTTTTGTATTTTGCCTTTGAATTCAAACAAGCATTTGATGATAAGGTTGTGTGGAATTTTGTTTTGTTATTCCCCATGCTCCTGCAGAATCACATTTCCTGTATTTATTTGCATTTCTAAATGTGGAGGAGTAGATGTGGTAATTTTATGTGGGTTACCGTAACACAGACACTGGGAGAGGGGGATGTGTAGACTGCACGTGAGGGATGAGGGGTGTGTGCATTGTATGCATGCAACGTTTCTGCACTGCATCACTTCCTTAATCAGACTTTTGATCTTGTTTTCCAGTAAAAATATCTAAGCATCTTTGAAACTATATAAATTTACTCGGGACAGATAAACTCATGACTCAGTTGAACTCTTGTAGTGTCAAAAAGTGAAAAGACTTTTTAGTTTTATTAATGGCGCCATCTTGGATATAACTTTGGTCACTTTCACTGTGGTTACTGGTAAGGGATACATGCTTGACTCCTGTTGCACATTCATACAGATTTTTAAAAATTATTTCTAAATCATTTTAAAAGTCACACGCTGATGTTTAGGAAGACAGCAGTCTTGCTTGTGTGAAATTACACATATATTTATGACTCATCCTGCACTACATTGATTTTTGTCCAATCAGATGCTTTCTAGAACAAGAATGCCCCTCCCACTAATAACACTTCACAAGCAAGTAAGCTCATGGCTTTAACATGACTAACACCTATTGGCAATTTAAATATGCAGATGAACCTCCTATATGCCACATCACAAACTTCCTGTTTCAATAGGAAATATGTCAACACAGAACCGAAAACTGCAGTTTCATGTGGTCTTTATATCAAGACATGGTTAGTATAACTTGTAAGGCCTTTGGTATCATGAGAGTTTAGCATTTTTATTTGATAGAAGATTCATTGTCACAAGTTTATTTTAAAATGGCATTGTTGGTTGAAGGAGAAAAAGGTGAATGTTCTTGCATGGCCTAGTCAGAGCCCAGACATAACCCCCATTGAAAATCTATGGAATGACTTGAAGGCTGCAGTTCACAAATGTTCACCATCAAATTTAACTGAACTTGAGCAGTTCTGCAAAGAAGAGTGGGCAAATGTTGCAAAGTCTAGATGTGCAAAGTTAGTAGAGACAGAGACAGATCCCAACAGACTAAAGGCTGTAATTAAACAAAATACTGACACAAGGGGGTGATACTCAGTGATTCTGTTTTTTTATTTATTTTAATTTTTTTTCCCTGACATGTTGGTGTTATATCTTTCACTTGGCTGTTATAAGTTGCACTGAGTAAATACAGCTGGATAAAACAAAAAACTGTGTCCGTCTTCATTTCAGACTGCAAAGCAACAAATTGTGATTATTTTAAAGGGGGTGATTCTTTTCTATACCCACTGTATTTACATAATTAAAGTGTAACATATTGTATACTATATATACTCTCTATACTATATCCGTATTATTTTTCCATAATGACATTTACTGTTAACAGCTCTCAGTCATTCAGCTTTTGTATTTTGCCTTTGAATTCAAACAAGCATTTGATGATAAGGTTGTGTGGAATTTTGTTTTGTTATTCCCCATGCTCCTGCAGAATCACATTTCCTGTATTTATTTGCATTTCTAAATGTGGAGGAGTAGATGTGGTAATTTTATGTGGGTTACCGTAACACAGACACTGGGAGAGGGGGATGTGTAGACTGCACGTGAGGGATGAGGGGTGTGTGCATTGTATGCATGCAACGTTTCTGCACTGCATCACTTCCTTAATCAGACTTTTGATCTTGTTTTCCAGTAAAAATATCTAAGCATCTTTGAAACTATATAAATTTACTCGGGACAGATAAACTCATGACTCAGTTGAACTCTTGTAGTGTCAAAAAGTGAAAAGACTTTTTAGTTTTATTAATGGCGCCATCTTGGATATAACTTTGGTCACTTTCACTGTGGTTACTGGTAAGGGATACATGCTTGACTCCTGTTGCACATTCATACAGATTTTTAAAAATTATTTCTAAATCATTTTAAAAGTCACACGCTGATGTTTAGGAAGACAGCAGTCTTGCTTGTGTGAAATTACACATATATTTATGACTCATCCTGCACTACATTGATTTTTGTCCAATCAGATGCTTTCTAGAACAAGAATGCCCCTCCCACTAATAACACTTCACAAGCAAGTAAGCTCATGGCTTTAACATGACTAACACCTATTGGCAATTTAAATATGCAGATGAACCTCCTATATGCCACATCACAAACTTCCTGTTTCAATAGGAAATATGTCAACACAGAACCGAAAACTGCAGTTTCATGTGGTCTTTATATCAAGACATGGTTAGTATAACTTGTAAGGCCTTTGGTATCATGAGAGTTTAGCATTTTTATTTGATAGAAGATTCATTGTCACAAGTTTATTTTAAAATGGCATTGTTTCATCATTAGTTCCATGGAAGTTGGGCTTCTTATCTGGAATGGGTACCAAGCCAATCTTTTTTCCCCCTCAGGAACTGAGTCTGAGGCAAGCCGTCCGGTGCAGGCTGCAGTTGTGTGGCCTCCCTCAGAGCCTCCCTCTGTCTCAGTGTCTGCGCCGGTCTCACCCTCCAAACCAGAGGAGGAGCAGAAACCAGTGGAAATGTCAGACATCACGCTCTCTCTGTCTCCAACAAACTCTGAGCTAGAGAGACCTGAGACAGAGGAGAAAGCGGAGGATGCTGACGCCGAAGAGTGTGAGGAAATGGTGTTGAGTGGAATGGAAGATGAAAAGAAAGAAAAGCCAGAAGGAAAATTTGAGGAAGATACTAATGGAATGGGTACAGAGGAGTGTGTGAGAGAGCAGATGTTAGAGAGGGATGTAGAGGAGAGTGCCATCCTGAGTGAGAAGGAAAGGCAGAATGAGGAGCTAAATGAGAAAGATAACTGCTCTGCCTCCAGCATCTCCTCAGCCAGCAGCACTCTGGAGAGAGAAGAACGAGAGGAGAAACACGTCAGTGACAGTGACTCAGGTGAGAACAACACATACACAAGTCGAATTCTGTGAATGAGTGCAACACAGAGGGTCTGACATTCACCACAAGATCCATATTAAAGGGGTCCTATTATGCTCTTTTACAAAGTCTTGATTTTGTTTTGGGGGTGTACTAGAACCGGCTCTCATACTAGGTTGTTCGAAAAACACATTATTTTTCACATATTTTACATTATTACAACACCTCTCTCCCCAGTCTGGCATGAACAGCTCGAATAGTTCCTGTATCAAATGAATGCCCGCCTTCTGAAAGACGAAATGTGCTGAGATTGGTTAGTTGGGCCAATGTGTGTTGTGATTGGTAGCACTCGGCGCCTGGTTGGGAAATGTCACGCCCCTTACCATAGCCACCTGCCAGCTTCAGTGTAAATATTGCGTCAATATCAAATCAATTTGAGCACGATTTAAACCCGGATGATTGTAACCACTCTAAGTTCATCTGCCTTGGGGAAACTAGCATGTCTCTGACATAGTGATAACACTCGTTGCCTTCTCTAGTGAAGCTCAACAAGGTCTCGTCCCATTCGTCAGTATTTGTGATATCACAAATCCCGGAAAATATGCGTTGTAGTCCAAACGAGTCATTCATTGTAGTTTTTGAAAAGTGATTTCTGTTAAATAAAATATCTCCTTTTGAAGTGGACTTTGAGCTTTGTAACTTTGCAGATCTTTTTTATGCTCAAACAGCAACATTACAGATTAACTAAAGTTGAAAAAAAGTGAAAAAGCATAATAGGACCCCTTTAAACATTTCTCTCCTGCCAAGCATTTCTTATCCACCATGAAACTTTATTTTACATTATTATTATTATTACTATTATTATTGTTATTATTATTTGGCCCCCCGACCAAATATTGTTTTAGTTTTCTACTAACCCTAACCTAACAGTCTACTAATACTCTAATGAGAGGTGGCTAACAAGTAGTTGCATATTAATCAGAGTTAGTTGATGTCTACTCCTCTATCTAAAACTGCACCTGTCATAAAATGCAGACCAATAGTGACTTTGTTCCTCACATTTTTGATTTAGTGGTTGATATTTTGTGAGGATTATTTCACATATGTGGAAAATTGAGTTTTGGGGGAAAATCATCCTAGATAAACCTGTGATGGTAAAAACAATGTTGTAAAAGTTAGAAGAGTCGCAGATGGTTTATTTAGTACACACGTGTCTTTTATTTGAAGCATGCACATCACTTGCATCAGCAAGAATCAGACAGACAGAGTTATTAGAATTTGATTTAAATTATGTATTATGTTGCAGTTCAAAATAAATTTACCAGCCAGCTGGCATTTTTACTCACATTGGTTTGCCAAGCATCAAATGATATATTTTTTTTAAATAATAATTTAATAATTTAAATAATGCAAACAACAGTTTCATGGTCAGAAATAAATATTTATGGCTAGTTTCGTTCCCAGTTTAAGGTTATTTTCCCAGTTTATCCACCATTGGCGGATAGAATGAAACAAAATATAGTGTCCCAGTTTACCCGCCACTGGCAGGTGTGACAAAAAGTTTTGGACTGTTGCTGTACATTTTCATTAAAGGGATTTTTTTTTCAGTGGTGAAAATTAATTCAAGTTTCAGCATTTCTGTTTTCCATTTATCAGTGCCAGGTTACGACATAAAAATAGACATGTTTTGTGAAGATGCACTCTTAAAATCATACATATTGTTGAAACTTGCTCTGAATTTGTTCTCTTAGGCAAGTGGGGAGACTGTATGAATACAGTGGATGTGAAGGATCAGTGTAACAAAGTTCTTAACAGCAAACGCTTCATGCTGGACATGCTTTATGCTCAAAACAAGAAGGGAGAGGAAGATGAGAAAGAAAAGGAGAATGAGAATGAGAAAGGGTGTTCAAGTCAGGACTCCTCTGTGACCAGCCTCACTAGTCGCATCTCCACTCTGGAGGTGCGTCGGCAAGCTTGCGAGGACAACATGAAGAAATTGGAAGTGGATAACCAGGGTAGCGTACGGGCTGTGGCCGAGAAATTTGGAGATTTGGTTAAAGGACTGGTATCGCCTCATGAGGTGGAGCATTCTGGGAAGGAAAAGCAGCAATCACAGGAAAAACCTCTGCCGGCTCCTTCACCAACACCCCCTAAAAAGGAGTCAGACCACATATGGGACCAGCTGATGGCCACGCCACGGGAGCTACGCATCAAAGAGCTGGACTTCACGGACTTGGGAGAGGAGGATGATGTGGACATTTTGGATGTCGGTAACGTGATCGGGTCAAGTGACCTCACGCCACCTCCTCCCCCGCCTCCCTTCTTGCCCAGCCTTCCGCCCCCGCCACCTTTATTTGGATGCCCTCCACCTCCCCCTATCCCTGGCATGATGATGCCCCCTCCACCACCTTTTTTGGCTTCAGTACCTCCCCTACATCTCAGATCTCCTCAACTTAGTCGAGGACAACCCCCGCTTTTCCAGAAGAAGAAGAAGACCATCCGGTTGTTTTGGAATGAGGTCAGACCTATAGACTGGCAGTACAGCAATCACAAGAGATGCAGGGAGTCACTGTGGTTCAAACTTGATCCAGTCAAACTGGACACAGCCAAGTTGGAAAACCTCTTTGAGACGAAGTCCAAGGAGCTGCCAGTTACAAAGGTACTGTTAAATGACCTCTTTTCGGTGTGGAAAAACTTGGATTCATTATTTATTGGAAAAACCCTATCCCTGGCATGATGATGCCCCCTCCACCACCTTTTTTGGCTTCAGTACCTCCCCTACATCTCAGATCTCCTCAACTTAGTCGAGGAGAACCCCCGCTTTTCCAGAAGAAGAAGAAGACCATCCGGTTGTTTTGGAATGAGGTCAGACCTATAGACTGGCAGTACAGCAACCACAAGAGATGCAGGGAGTCACTGTGGTTCAAACTTGATCCAGTCAAACTGGACACAGCCAAGTTGGAAAACCTCTTTGAGACGAAGTCCAAGGAGCTGCCAGTTACAAAGGTACTGTTAAATGACCTCTTTTCGGTGTGGAAAAACTTGGATTCATTATTTATTGGAAAAACTATTGTATCAACTTAACAATGAAAGTTGTTTTGTTCTTACATTGAACATAATATTACAAGTTTTATGAACTTAAAAATAAAATGGTTCAATGGTTCAATAAGCTTGCATTTTCAGTTAACCTGAGCATTTATAATACATTAAAGTATGTAGAATTGACTTAGTTTATCTAACTTGTGTATCATTTCATTGAGAAAACTGAAAAGGGTATAAAGTAAATTTTTTAGCACCAAAGCAAGTTTTATATACTCACTAAAATGGAAGAGACGTCACAAAAGAGAACACTAATCACCCTAATGGTAACTTTACAACAAAATATGACCAAAAACACTACATGAAGCTATTCATTCTAAATAACAAATATTTATTTTATAAAAAAAAACAATTTGACCAAAAACTAATTACTCAAGTGGATCATTAGTGGTCAAACTGAGCTTGCTCAATAGCCTGTTAGTAGGTCCCTCACCACCAAATTTGATATTGTTTGATACATTCTTGCCGTTTAATATTTTAAATTACTTAAACTAATTGACCTAAAATGTACTATATTTAATTTATTTTATGTAATGTCGACTTTTTCTACATTTGATAGTTCAGTCAACTTTTAAAATAGAGTTTGTTTGGTTGTTGTTGGATTTTTTTGTTGTTGTTTTTTACAGTACAACAGCCTAGTATCAAGATGGCAACAAAAAAAATATTTGTATTGCTCTACTTTGGTTTTACCTGGCTTTTATCAGCACATGTGAACACAAACTATAGCTGCTGGGAAGTTATTTTTGATCTTTTCTGGGCCTTTCTTCTGTAACACACAGTATGAATTTCACAGCTCTTTCTTATGACATGATCGCACATGTTTAAAAAAGAGCTGCAGAATGTCAGTCAGAATGGTAATAGGTTGGTTGATTGGCTATGATGGATTCCATGTATTACCTAAAAGCTTAATCAAGGTGCTTTCTGGGTTCCATAAATCCTGCTGCCACTCAAAACAAAGTCAAGTCACAAGTCAGAGCTTGACTGAAACATTCTAACCCAATCAATAAAGCCTGTTACGAGGATCTCGAAGTTTGAATGTGTGCTATACTCTGAAACATTAACTGCACCGTCATTCCAGGCTGTATACCAGAGTTCATTTTATTCTTTCATGTAAATTATTTTTCATGTACAGAGATACATCTTGATAGAATGAACACTGATATTCACCATCACAGGTTTTAAGTGTTGAAGATGAATTGAGATTGAATTTATTTATCATATTATTTGGCTTGTTCGCTATTAAGATGGTGTCTCAGAAATGTGGCCTGCATGGGGTTTCCTCTCCTCTCTGCTCTGAGCAAGCTTTTCCAGCTGTTTTTCATTTTCGACCCATTCTCCCTCCCTTTTTCCCCAGAGCCCCTCCTCTCCCCCTGTTTGGCAGCAGACAGAGTACCATCATGGCTCTACTCCTCCAGAAATATTCTCCATCAAAGTCCCAAAATAGCTCTCAGGTGCTTGCGTGCCTTTTCAGCAGAGTAAAGATTAAACGTATCCCAGCTTTGTGTTCATTTCTCAGGAAGCCAGTTTTGGGGTAATTATCCACATTAAAGAAATGCCTTTCCTACTCAGTTCAGTGGCCAGCGTGAGAGTAAGAACAGGCTGAAGGATCCTTATTTCATATTAGGTGTGGGAGAATAGATGTGTATTATGATACGTCTTTTTCAAGATTCTTTGGATAAAAAAGATATATTTGAAACAGAATTTTTTTTGTAACGCTGTAAAAGTCTTTGTCACCTTTGATCAATTGAATGCATCCTTTTTGAAAATGTTGAAGCCAATTTTCAAATAGGCACTATCTTTATTAATAAACCCCATATTTGAAGTTTAAACAACTAAATTCTTGCCTAAAAAACTACATTCCGTGACACAACAGCAATAGTTTTGTAAAATTTTGTCAACGAGAACATAAACTTTTATTAAATGGCATTTCTAAACAGTTTTGTCTACTTGTGGAATGTGTGATGGTATTAATGTATTGTGAGATAATATTATTTAGTGCATAAAATGTTAACATGAAATTAGGACTCTTAACATTTCAAAAGTCAAACGTTTTTAAATGGTGCATTTTTACCATAAAATGTAATCCCTCAAAACATATGTATTTGAGATCTGGTATAAAAATGACAAAAATATCAAGATTTTCTTGTGATGCATGTGTGTGAACTGTTTGACCTTTTTAGAATACAAATTAAACTAGTGAGAGTATATAAGCGTGTTTAAAAAATCCACAGGGCAGAAAAACCCATAGTCATAGAAACTGTTTATTTATTTTTTTTAATCTACTGAAGCTAACCAGCCAAGCTTGATGTCTTGACCCCTCAAAGTACAGTCATTATGAATAACTCTGATTATCTGTTTATATATCTGATTTCAGAAAACAGCAACAGATGGGAAGCGTCAGGAGATCATCGTTCTGGATTCCAAAAGAAGTAACGCCATCAACATTGGCCTGACGGTCTTGCCGCCTCCTCGCACAATCAAAACAGCCATCCTCAACTTTGATGAGTATGCCTTGAGCAAAGAGGGCATAGAGGTAATGCTGCACCAGTTTAAAATCGCATTCCGTTTTGCAAATTATGCCAAATCAGCCACAAGTAATGAAGCAAATTTGACATGATGAAATTATTAAGAAAAGCTACAATTAAACTCAATACATACGTTTCAGTCATAAAACTAGTACAATGCATGGTTACCCGTTACAGGTTACCATGCAGAAAACACATCTGTACTTAATACTAACCTTGTTTTGAGTCCACGTGAGTCACATATTCCTTGAACCCCTCTACAGTTCGCTTTCACTCTCTCTTTCGCTCTCTCTTTCTTTTTCTTTTTCTCGTTCTCTTTCTCTCTCTTGTTACATCAATCATTCAGGCATTTATGATCATCCCCAGACTGCTACATTAAAACATATTTTTACCAAAATACATGGCTCTCTACAACTGTACTGTAGTCGAGTTGGCAAATCGAAAGCATCGAGTCAAAGCTTGTGTCCAAAATAACTCAACCTCTTTGCCCTGAAAGCATACATTTACTTTGGATTTCCACAAAACCAATAGATTTTACCCTTAAAACTAATGTTTAGCAAGTTGGTTTGGCCGGCGACTCTGCATATTATGTGGATTTCCTGCAAAACTGAAGCATTTTTGCCAGCAGTCATATAATCCATCTCAGAGATTAACGGTTAGCAAAATGCTTCATTTAGGCTGTTACAGCCCATGATACAGATCTGAGGTAAATGTCTCAATATCAACATGTGAATAATGGAGCTCCCATTTTCTCATAAAATCTGTCATTTTTTCGTCATGGAAAAAATGGATTAGAGTGTTTCTCTCCACCCTTTATGTCTCTGCAGAGAGTGTTATGTTTTCACTGACAACCGCAATTTATGCTTCTCAAGATTTTATCAAAAATGTTGTTCTGGTCAGGAGAAATTACCTTTTTTATTCAATTATTCAGTTATGCAACAGCAGGATATGCCCATAGCAGATGAAATAGCAGTGAAATAGTCATCATTTCCCACATTTTTGAGTAATGCAGTGTCTTCCCAGGTGTTGTTGTTCATCAACGCTCAGATGATTGATGGAGCAAATGCCTTTCTAGGGGTGAATCCCCATATACAATGATTTCTGACAGTGATACTAACACTCCCTGCTGGGTCTTGTGCTCTTTCGTAGAAAATCCTAACAATGATTCCTACGGAGGAGGAGACGCAGAAGATTCAGGAGGCCCAGCTGGCGAACCCTGACACTCCGCTAGGCAGCGCAGAGCAGTTCCTCCTCATTCTGTCCTCCATCAGCGAGCTGTCCGCCCGCTTGCAGCTTTGGGCCTTTAAGATGGACTATGACGCTTTAGAGAAGGTCGGCCTCATGTTCTGTTACTCCACTCATACAAATTAAATGACATCATGGTGGTTTGGGGTCAATTGTTTTTGACCTCTACTTTACTAAACTGTCAGCAGGGGCTTTAACTAGTGGGTTGTGGCCCAAAATTGGGTCCGGTCTGATAGGGTAATGGATAGCAGGGAAAAATCTATGCTAAATGTAACCAATAAAGTGCAAATAACTATATAATCATGTAAAATGTGGATACAGTTGAATACATATACAGTTTACTTGACATGTACTCACCTTCAAAAACCATGAACCAAACACACACAAGGTAAATGAGAATACAATTTTTTTTTCTGTAATAGTTAAATGGTGTAATAAATTATTGGCAAAGAACATGAAATTAAAGAAATTTAAAAGAACATTTACAAATAAAAAAAAAGTATAAAAACAAGTTGGTTGAGGTTATTTATGGTAATATTATTACATCTGCATTAATGTATAATGTATTCACAGAACCATTCAAAAGTTTAGTTTTTTTTTTAAATCAAAAAATACAATAAAAACTATAGTAATATGCTCATTTTTATATGCTGAAATTATTTTAACATTTTATTTTTTGTAAATGTAATTTATTCCTGATGGCAAAGCTGAATTTTCAGTGTCACATGATCCTTCAGAAATCATTCTAATATACTGATTTGCTGCTCAAGAAACATTTCTTATTATTTTAAATGTTGAAAATAGTTATGCTGCTTAATATTTTTCTGGAAACCATGACACTTTTATTTCAGGATTATTTGATGAATAACAGCAAAAGAACAGCATTTACTGTGAGCATTTCGCTAGTGAGCGACGCCTCGTGGTACCATCACAGAGAGGCTCAAAATCACTTTCCAGAACATTCTCGTTCACCGTTCCTGGCTGGTGGAACGATCTTCCCACCCCTATCTGGAATGCTGAATCCCTGACAATTTTCAAGCGACTTCATCTTCACCTTAAATAAAAAAAAAAAAACTGTCTTTCTCTTTATTTATTCCTTCCCATTCTAGCTTGTACTTATTTGAACAATGCCTAAAACTTGGTATTACAAGCACTTACTGTGTCTGTTTGCCTCTTTAAGAAGAATCGCTTTATGTATTCCCCAATTGTAAGTCGCTATGGATAAAAGCGTCTGCAAAATGACTAAATGTAAATGTAATTTGAAATATAATTTTTTTTGACATTATAAATGTCTTTACTGTCACTTTTAACCAATTAAATATGTCCTTGCTAAATAAAAATACTAATTTCTTTCAAAAAAGTCTTGCTGATCCATACATTTTAAACAATATTGAATTAAATTGACATAAATCTGTATAAATATATCAGCATTAATATGTAAACGTAAATTTCAATGTTGTGGTTGTTGTTGTTAGAACAATTTTAGGACTTTTTGAGTTTCTCTATTATGATGAACAATTTTTGTACTGTGTTCAGACAGTAGTTTTAGATCTAGAACCAAAACCACCGGTCTACAAAATTCTTTCCTAGAGGCTATTTATTTTTAACCCAGTCTTTTTTTCTCTCTCTCTCTCTCAGGAAGTAGCAGAGCCACTACAGGACCTGAAGGAGGGCATGGACCAATTAGAAAAGAATAAGACCCTGTGCTACATCCTTTCAACTCTGCTAGCTATTGGCAACTTTCTCAATGGAACCAATGTAAGTGCCAGCGAATTCTACAGCTCTTCTTTCATCCCCTAATCTCTCCATCTCCATCTGTATTTCTTTCTGTCTGTCTGCCGTATTCGCTTAGATCTTAATAACATTAAAAAGGCTGATGGAGATAAACCTGATAAGGTGGTGAGTTTGGCATGACATTTCTTTTGTTACTGTAAACCATTGAGCGTGGGCAGCAGAACAAAGCCAGCGAGAGTCATGTCACGTCCGTGGGGATTTCTCCATTCCCAGCTCTGTCGTGCCTCACAGACTTGCAGACAGGATTGAGATTCTGTTAATCATATGTCAATGAAGCATTGATCAGAATCATCATGGGAGCTGCACACAGATTCTGCGCATGTTCAAAGCACTTTTATCTTAATGCAACTGATGCTAATCAACTAAACTACATCATAATCATGTCAAAATGAGGCCTTTTTTTAGAAAATGATTTGATGATGGACCAGATCCAGAGTGACTAATGCTCTCAAGGTGCATGTGATTTTCCACATCAGAGCTCATTTCATCTGCACACATATACACATTTAAATTGATCTGATATAAAATTTCCCTGCTTTTCCAGCACGCATTACACTGTTCTTGTTTTTTTCCTTTTTTATCCTCAAAAACCAACTGTGGCAAATTTCCTGCACTTATGTAAAGCAATTAAGTAATACCTTTTTTCAGTAAATATGAAATGTATCATAATCTATCACTCTGAAATGTAAAAACAGTTTTGGCAGGAAAATATTAACTGTCTATATTTGTATACAATGTTAATTTTTCTGAATGCCGTAAGTCACATAACGTACACAGCAAGTATATATATATTATTTACAGGCAAAAGTACTTAATAAAAAAGGGCATAATAGGCATAATAAAAGGCAAAATACTTTTATTACAGGAAAGCAACATTTCAAAATAAATTAAATATATGTATATATTTTTTTGTTTGTTTGTTTTTTATTATATATTAATAAGCTAATTTATATATTATAATGTGATTTAACATGGTAATTTGGTGTGATTTGGTTTTAAAATTTTTAACAAATTTAACACATATAGCCTATTAGAATGCAGTTATATGCCCATAAAATTCAAGAAAAGAAAAAAAAAGACCATATATGAGTTTTACAATTCAAACAAGTTCAACAAACAAAAAGTTAATATTGTGTTAAACATTGCCAATACTGTCTGTTTTGATCAACAAAATTGTTTAATTAAAAAGCAGTGTTTTGTTACTGAATGAATACATGGTTTAATGATTTTTAAATTATCTAAATTACAAATTATATTTTGGGGGGTAATTTCTCAGCCAAAATGTATGTGCAATTAATTAAATGAATTAATCGGCACATGAAGTAATTAATTAATCAAAAATTGCATTTGCTTAAAAACGTTATACATACATTATCTCACAGAAGTGAGTACACCCCTCACATTTTTGTAAATATTTTATTATATCTTTTCATGTGACAACCAGAGCATGTGAGCGAAGCGGAGCGGTGTGACGCTTGAGTCACATGACACTGGGGAGAGAAAATGGCTAATTGGGCCCATGTGGGGTGTACTCACTTTTGTGGCCAGCAGTTTAGACATTAATGGCTGTGTGTTGAGTTATTTTGAGGGGACAGCAAATTTACACTGTTATACAAGCTGTACACTCACTACTTTACATTGTAGCAAAGTGTAATTTCTTCAGTGTTGAATGAAAAGATATAATCAAATATTTACAAAAATGTGAGGGGTGTACTCACTTCTGTGAGATACTGTATACATGGCTTCCTAAAAACAAACAAGCAATACATTATCATATTCAATGCATGGGTTTATTAAGCACATTTGCCATGGTCTTTTTTATTTCTGTAATTGTGTTTTCAGGCTAAAGGCTTTGAGCTGAGTTACCTAGAGAAAGTTCCTGAGGTGAAGGACACCGTTCACAAACAGTCTCTACTGCATCATGTCTGCTCCCTCGTCGTGGAGAAGTCTCCAGAGAGTTCAGACCTCTACTCTGAGATTGGAGCCATTACACGCTCAGCTAAGGTTAGCAGAACTATCATAGCATTTTTACAGCACCATCACCACTGTTTTTTGTCGACTTTCAGTTTTTTTCCAAAATTTAATTTTGGGTGGGTCTTTCATTATGTTTAATATGGTACAGAAAGGGCAAGAAAATAATGGGAAAGGAATCAAAACTCTCATAGATTGCTATGAGAATGTACACTCACTGCTATGCAATGAAACACCTAGAAGGAGAGAGAGAGAGAGAGAGAGAGAGAGAGAGAGAGAGAGCATCTTGTGCTTCAGTGGAAGCAAGAACACCTGACCTTTTGTACAAAAATTTCACAAATTTAATCAGTGACCTATAAATAGTGCAGAATATTATTTTGTCTTTATAACATTTCTTTGTTTTAAATATTTCAAGCACTAAAACGTTCTGTTTCGTTCCAGATTTAAATTAGATTTAAATTCCCGATATTCAATATCGTCTCAGAAGTTTTGCAACCCAATGTACAAACAATGACAGTGTGCCATGTACAAAGGAAGAAATCAAGGCTTCACAATTCCATGAGTTGTTGCTAAAAGTGAAGCATTGCTTTTGAAGTGAACGGACCAATCATGAGATGGCTTTGTTGATCACTGGTTGTCCCGTCTTCTTCAGGTTGACTTCGACCAGCTGCAAGAAAACCTATGTCAGATGGAACGCCGCTGCAAAGCATCCTGGGACCACCTGAAGGTCATTGCCAAACACGAAATGAGACCAGCCCTCAAGCAGCGCATGTCGGACTTCCTTAAAGACTGTGCCGAAAGAATTATCATCCTTAAAATTGTGCATCGCCGCATCATAAACAGGTGCCTTAAAAATAGTTGAACACATTAACGCTGTTTGCACACATCCGATTTGTTTTTCAAATCTAATCTGTGGGAATGAAAAAGGCTTGAAAACTGATCTAATATTTCAGACTGACATTTTTTTTTATCTGTTTTTTATTAAAAACACATTTGAATGTGGTTTGCAAAAATGTGGATTGAATTTAGTTTTTTGTGGTTCTGACGGTGTATACGCCAAAAACATCAGCATCTTTTTGCTCTGTCTGAACCAAGGTGTCGTAGAGATGTCTGAAGATCAGTTAAAGTGAGGTCCCTGTGTGTCTGATCTACAGGTTTCACTCATTCCTGCTGTTCCTGGGCCACCCACCATACTCGATACGAGAGGTGAGCATCCACCGCTTCAGTAAGATTCTGAGTGAATTTGCACTTGAGTACCGCACCACCAGAGAGCGAGTGCTACAGCAGAAACAGAAACGAGCCAATCACCGCGAGAGGAACAAGACACGGGGCAAAATGATCACAGAGGTGAGTGAATGTCTTTCTTCTGTTGAACCCGAATGAAGATATTTTGAAGAATGTTGGAAACCAGTCATTTTTACAGCCTTTGTTATTAATCTAGATTGATGTTGATCTATAAAATGCATTTGTAACTTTTTAAGTTGTATAAATCAGTTTTACATTAATAAAAACTTTAAAAATGTTGTTAATTTCCGGGAACAATCCTTTTTAAACTTTTTCAGCACCATTTAGATGAACATATTCCATTGCATCTTCTCCTGATTAAATATATTTCTGCTAATAACGCCATTGACACAACAGATGACAAGTGGATTATTCAAAAACCAGATGATTAAAAGAAAATGGGATGTAAAATAACTATGCCTTTATTCTCCTGCTTCAACTAACATCTTCTTTGTTTGGGGTCTCAAAAGTTTGACTCAAATAGCAAATCTCAGATTAAAAAAAAAAAAAAAAACGTTTTTATTGTCGGAACTTTTTTGTCCCGTAATTCATGCACAGAAAGGAACCCTCAGCTCTTTTGTGCTTTTTTCCCCCTCTTATTTCTCTCAGACTGCTCAGGTGCTTAATTTATGTGCTTCATCTTTGCACCACAAGAGGGAGTCATTATACATTCAGATGCTTCCAGTGTCTCATTCACACTTGAGACCAATGAAGACTGATTCTTATCGTGTGTATGTTCCATTTTCTTTAGTCTGCCCCAAGGTGCTCAGAATAGCCACAAAACACGCTCGCCACTTGCATTACATTAATAAAACATTGTAAACCAAGCAGTCTATTGTCATGGGTTTTGCAGCTCTGGACTTGCCCTGGGTATTTGTTACTCCAGGAGGCCAATTTAATGCCTCTCATGGGGGATGTCATAGCCAGGATAGCCCTTCATGGCATGTTATGCTTGGCAGAGGTCTTCCTCAGTCTAAGAGGGGTGTCTAATTCAATCTCTGTGTGAAAATCCCTGTAGGAGTGGTGAATGTAAGCTCTGTAGAGGTAGAGCTGAGGTAGAGGAGGACGTTCAGTTACACATGGTGCTGCAAAACAATAAGCCCAAGTAATAATATGGTGAATCTCACTAAAATGTGCATAGGTCATTTTATAGCACAAGCAAAAGAGTTAAAGTAAATTAATAGTTTTGCATTGTGACATTGTTTATTGGCAGTTAGGGGGCAAATATGCCCCCTAAATTCTCATTATTGTAATACATTTTTGTCATTTCCATTTTTTAGGTGATTCTTGTTAAAATATTGTTTTTATGATAATTTTGAATATAATTTTGTAAAAAAAAAAAATATTTAAACCAGCAAAAACATCTAGGTCACATTTTATCCCCAAAATATCACATTTTAACCACCAGGGTACTATATGACCTGGGCATATTCTTGACAGGTTTAAAAAAAATAAATAAAATAAAAACCCTAAAGAGTTGCCTCAAGTGCTCTAGAATGTTCAGGGTAGTACATTTTGGAATGTGTTTTGAAACCTTTATGAGTCCTGAAGTGCCAAACCAAATACCAAAAACATTTTTCAACCCAACATTTCCTGCTCATCTTTTCTGCCATGTGACTTCTTTCATTTCTTCTCTGTAGAGTGATGAGGAAGAGGATGATGAGGTATGCGTGTATCTGTGTGCTTTTCTGCGCTTGTGCATGGACGGGTTTCACGGTTTTTTTTCCTGTAATGTCTAGCATATATTTCCAGAGCATATGCAAGTTTGTACTGTATCTAGAGGACTCAGGGATCAATATTCTTATTGTTTCTTATCGTATGCAACTATTGTGGTTCCCCATGTGGATTTGAACAGAAGATAAGAGCATGTTAAACTACTGTAGACGTAACATGATGTTGAACAAAGCTGATGCAGATGTGAAGCTATTTTAAAATCAACTCTGAATTAAATGCCACGTCAATACAGTTTTCACTTGAGTCTTGATGCATTATTAAGCGACTTGTGTGTGAATCATTTACTAAACCAGTATGAATAGACATGTTTTGGGGTGATGTGTATTTTTTGTATTTGAGTATGGTGAGATTACTGTTAATCATATATTGGAATCATATTTATATTATTTGTCTGAAGTGAATCTAAACACCGAAAGTATGGAAACCAGTAATGTTTGGTACAACCAAACAAAACAAGGATATAAATGCAACTACTTCCACTGAGTGTAATTTTTTATTTCTCTATGATGAATTGATTTCTTTATTATTTCTCTCCTCAGAGTGGGAAGTTTGCAGGAACTCCTCTGGAGGGTCAGGAGTGTCAGCCGCAGGGTCTGGGCTACACGGAGAACGCAGCTGAACATGAGCAGATGACTGCTGTACTTCGTACCAGCCTGCAGAGCGGCGATAGTCCATCCTCTGTACTCCCCGGCCTCCGCACACGCACTCGAGCCACTCGAGGTATATTCATATCTTTAGAGCTACAGATAATGCTGATTTGACCTTAAAGGTCTGAAGTCGAAACAAAAACAAAAAAACAATTGAAACCAGTTCTCTCCTTGTGTCTCGTTTCCAGGCCATACGGCACTTTTGTCTGCTGCAAATGAAGACACTTCTAATTGCACAAATGATACAGCGGATGAGATCATGGAACGGATTGTGAAATCAGCCACTCAGGTCCCCAGTCAGCGCACACAGCCCCGCGAGAGGAGACGCTCCAGAGCCAACCGCAAATCCTGTGAGTCTGCGAGAACCACACAACTCGTACTGAAAGGCTCATCCCTATGAGTTTACCCTCAAGAGTTTTGAAGGGATGAAGGGTATAGGGGACCAAAAACTGTTCTTTGGAACACACTTCTGCGTCCTCTTGCTGAGCCAATATTTAAATATGACAGCCATGATTGTACTCACTCCAAAGTGCCCTTCAGAGATGGATTTGTCACTTTTGAAACTCAATTTAACTGTCTGCCTTGCTTTGGATTAGGGGGTGTTTGGAGTGTAGCATCAAACTACTTTCATTTCTTGGCCTCAGGCAGGAAACAAATGTAGTTTTTGAAAAAGATGTAAAATGGAAATATTGTGAAATGTTATTACAACTTAAAATAACTGTTTTCTAATTTATTATATTTTAAAATGTGTTTTATTCCTGTGATGGCAAAGCTGAATTTTCAGCAGCCATTATGCCAGTCTTCAGTGTCACATGATCCTTCAGAAATCATTGTGATATGCTGATTTGGTGCTTAAGAAACATTTCTTCTTATTATCAGTGTTGAAAACAGTTATTGTGCTTAATATTTTTGTGGAAACGGTGACCCTTTTTTCAAGATTCTTTGGTAAATAGAAATGTTAAAAGAACAGAATTGATCTTTTGTAACATTATAAATGTCTTCACTGTCACTTTTGATCAATTTAATGCATCCTTGCTGAATAAAAGAATAAAAATAAAAAAACGAGTGTATAATATATGCTAGTGTAATGAATCATTTTCTTGAATGTTTTGTAAATAATTACGGTTTAAAACCTATTTAGATCTGTTTTAATTAAATTTTAAGCAATAATTACATTTAAAATGAACATTTTTTTACACATTAAATTACTTTTTTTTTTCCAGATACATTTTTTTAAATCATCCTTGTTTTAAAAATTGATAATGGTGATTTATTGATATTATGGTATTAGCTTGAATAGTGTTTACTATAATTTTAAATAATAATAATAGGGAGTTTAAATATTTACAATTCTGTATCTCATCTGTCTGTAATATGTTTGTATCATGAGTTTTCTCAACAGCGCTTCGCTCTCTCATTCATTCCCTTTTTTCTTCTCTACAGTAAGAAGAACACTGAAGAATGGTCTTACGCCAGAGGAGGCGCAGGCGCTGGGATTGGCCAGCAGCTCTGAGATGCAAGTGTGAGACAGCAGCCGCTCAGAGTCTCGGCCCACACATATAAACACAAATGAGCTGGACCAGGTCACTGTAACTTGAGTTTGCTTGAATCTGGAGCAGGTGCATGTTTCTGGGTTTGTGTTTTAAAACGGTTATTGCCGTGGACAATTTGTATTCTCACAGGTGAAAGGGATTATAATCACTAACCCATTATACTCTACTTATCCTGGAACGTGTAGTCAGACCTTACAACATTTACTAGCTTATGCATTTTGTCCCAAGAGGATCATTGAAACTACTCAGGTGCATGTTCACTGTTCCTGCAGACTGTTGATGATATCCCAAACATCCGTCTTATTGCATTTTTGAAAGAGAACAAGCACAATGTCCTGATGCACAACATTTATAGACGCGCGCACGCACATGCACATGCACACACACACACACAGAGAGAGAGAGAGAGAGCCTGTAGAATGCTGATTGTCCAGTTCTCCAGTACAGAGACCAATGTCCTTCTCTTACCGCTGTGGCCTTCGGAATGATCCTAAAGAACTGTGTTTAAAGATGACTGGATGCCCTCCCACTATTTTTGTTTGTACTGGCTGTTTTGTTGAATTAAGAAGGTATTGAATAGTAGCACCTTTAGCATTCCTATCTCATGTAAATCAGCAGCGATTCTTCTCTGGTTTCTCTGGTGAAGCAGGGCTTCTTATGTTAGGGAGAAATAAAATCTTAAAAGCTTTTCTTTAATTTCTGCTGTACCCTGAAGTCTCCTTTTGTGATCAAAACCTGTTTAGCTTGGATAAAGATGATCAAATTACTTTGCACACAGATGAGAACAAACTAGAAAGTCTTCTTTCTCTTTTTCCCTCCAGCTGTCATTTCCTCATACATAATCTCTATAGTAATACATTCATTTCATAACTTGCAAAATTAGACAATTGTCTATTTAAATGAAAGAACTTCTATCCATATTTTTTTTGTTTTGTTTTTTTAAATGATGGCATTATCAAATGAGTGCCTTGAAGAAATGTGTTTTTGTGAGAATCTGATTATTTAGTCAGGAAAGGAAGGAAGGAAGAGAGAAACATTCAGATTTTAGGGCATTTCAAAGGATATAGTTGACCCAAAAATGTACAATTTTGTCATTATTTCCTCTACATTATTCTAAACCCATCTGGATAATTTGGATATAAATTGGATATTTTGATCAAGTTGTGAGTTAAAAGTTAACTTTCTAGTGATCAGTGAATAAAAACTTAATGTGTCATGTGACTTCAAATTATAGCCCACAAATCATATGGACTACTGTTTTTGGTGCTTTTTCTTAAAGGGGTCATATGATGCTATTTTGAAGATCATTATTTTGTGTATTTGGTGTAACAGAATATGTTGACATGCTTTAATGTTCAAAAAACACATTATTTTTCAAATACTGTACATTATTGTAGGTCCTCTATGCCCCGCCTCTCTCAAACACGCCGTTTTCAACAAAGCCCCCTCCTTTGACAAGCGCAGTCTGCTCTGATTGGCCAGCTGACCCAGTGCATTGTGATTGGCCGAACACCAAAACCACGCGTCGGAAATGTAACGCCCCTTACCATAATCGCGAGCTTCAGCTTTCAATGTAAATATCAAGACAGTTAATAATGTCGTTAGTTTTACCATCAGTTCAAGCCAAAAGGGCAACAATCGTGTGACAGACACAGTGATGATGCAGTACACAAGTCGCGGTTAAGACAGCTGACGTGCTAAATCGAAATCGCATCATATGACCGCTTTAACAATTGGTCAAAGTACATGGATGTATGGAAAAGAGCTGCATGACGATTCTTCAAAATACTGAATATTTTTTACAGAACCACATTGTTCATATCGGTTTGGAGAAATTAAATTACACAATATTAGCAAGATTTCAAAAAAAAAAAAAAAAAACCTGTGAACACAGCCTTTTCATTTTTTCCCCTCAATGTGGTACCAATCAACCAGGGTTTTTAGTTTTTTTTTTATTTTATTTTACAAATTACCAGATACAAATCCATTGTCAATGATAGAAGTACCACTCAGCACCTTATCATGTGTAGCATGCAATTTCGAAAGGAATTGGAAAATTTAGTATTATAGACTTTTTTTCACCTCTTTCCCTCAGATTTTTATTCTGAGTATTATGTGGATAAGAGATTAGATACATGTAAAGTAGAACCTTGATGTAGAGGCTAAACATGAGACAGATGCTGTAAAATTGTGTAAATGTCACAAACGTTTTTATTTGTATTTTTTGTTGTGTTCATGTTTTGTTTGTATTTTGTATAGTATAGTGTATCATAGGTCAAAAGCAGTGTTATTCTGTGAAAATCCTAATTTAAGAGAAAATAAACCATGCATGGTTCAAACAATAACAAATGTGCCAGCAGGCGATGTCATTATTTTGTGGCTAAGTGGATGGAGCCTGTGACGTCTCGATACCCTGTGAACGTAGCTTTTGTTTCATGTGTTTACGCAGCACAGACTTGAAACATTGTCATGCACCCATCAGCCCTGCTCAAATGGCCTTTGATATTATTGCACTCACATACAGAGTTTCACCCATTGCTTGTTGGTTTTGCATAAAATGTGATCGAGAATGTGAAAATTTGATTTCTAAATTCCAAAAGGAAAAGCATTTTCTGTACTTTGCAATAAAACGCTTTTACAGCAACATCCAGAACAGAGTTGGACTGTTTCTTTCTTGGTAACAGTGTAATTGTTTTCAGTTGAAAACATGATTCTATTGAACCAAATTGTTATGTAAAACAAAATTACTAGATACACTGACCACAAATCTAAGTCTGTTTGCTCAAGTAAATGTGAGAAACATTTTAAATGATGTCACGTTATATGATATAAAGGCACAGCTGGGAGATATAAGTTGTAACTGTGAGACACATTGGGTGATATAAAGTCACAACATCTGTTAAGTCGCAATTAAATACTGCAATTTCTTGACAAAGTCACATTGCGAAATACAAAACAGTGTGAGATGTAATGTTTCCTGTAATTCCAACTTTACAATTTACAAGAATTAAAAACAATTCACAAGTTTGATATAAAGTCTGTGTAAGATACAAACTCACACTGTGGGTCGCAATTAAAAGAAAAATAAATTCCAATTGAAAAGTTTAGTCACATTTGGGGATATAAAGATGCAGTCTCATTTGTGAGGTATAAGTAATATTAGGCACGTTTCCATTACCCTTATTGAAAATACACCTAATGGAAACTCGTCAATTTAGCAAAAACGCCCATATATTGCAAAACAGTTTTTACGCTTGCATGAGGTGGCATATATTTTGCATAAATAAATATAGCCAAAATCCATCAATATCCCACCAAAATCCATTGCCATGACTTATCGAGAGAGGCAAAAGGTTACGTTTTAGTCGCATAACATTGGTTAATGGAAAGCCGTCATTTCGCAATACTTTTTTATCGACATTTAGAAAACATCGCCAAAGTTTTGCGCAAATCTGTAATGGAAACACGCCTACCGAGAGATGTAAAGTTCCAATTACACAAAAAAAAGAAAGTTACAATTTGAGAGGTATAGTTGCAATCACAGTTGGGAGGTATAGTCACTTTATCAGATTAAGTCAGATTCACAATTATGAAAATAAAGTAGCATTTTTTAAAATATAAAGTCACAATGTGAGATACAAAGTCACACTGTGAGATTACCGGGAAGAAAAAAAAATCAATTGAAAAGTATAGCGCATGCAATTCACACACAAACTCTCCAAGAACAGAGTTGTTAGACATATCACCACCTTTATTTAGGGTCATGTACAGCAGATGGTTCTTTTGCAGTGTCACAGAGCTCCTCTAAAACGAGCTGTGACAACATCGAAACTGATGGAATCTCATTACAATCATAATTGTATGACAATTTTAGTGCAACAACAGACATGTAACATGCCTAATGCAGTAAAGATGTTGGTTGTACAAGACCATACAAAAACAACCTTGTGTGTTTGTTTGTTAGATATATCTATGGCAAAAATTAGCTTGCATTTGTCCCCATAACTTTTTCAGCAAGGACAGAAAGATGCCATGGAAAAGCAAAAAAAATAAAAAAATAAAATTATCAATGGTAGGTCAAAAAGAAACGAAAACCAAATAAGGTCAGATCACAGAAAGGAAATAAAAGACAAAATCCAAAGTCTAGGATTCATGGTAAAATCCAATGCAAACTATGTCTTTTCTGCAAGTTGTATGCCAACTACAAACTAAAGAAAGTGATAAAAGCAAGAGAATATATATCGATTCCTAGCCTGTCTAGGTCTACAAAATAGCTACACAATGTCCCTGAACAATAAGGTCAGCACAGTACTAGAAGAAATTAATTGTAGAAATTTCAAGTTGGAAGGTTTTCCAAATACAAACAGCAAGTCCACACCAATGAACTTTCATACTGCTCTGATTTAGTATCTCTATAAAGCTGAAGATAGCTGTACTTCTTTTTGCAGTTTTACATGTGCACTTTTTAGGGCTGTAATATCAAATGTCGATTCCGAAGCACCAAAAGTAATTTTTTTTTAAATCTGACAATGGTCACAAAAAAATAGGAATGACATTTTTTGTGTGTATAGTGCAGTTTACTTAAGGAATTATCACTCTTATACAGTTACCTGATATGTGATAAGAGAAGAGAGTGTATTATTAACTGACAGTTAACTAGTAAAACCAATGCAGGTTTAAGACAATTTCAGCCTAGGACACTTCAGGCAAAACAAAAAGAATGAAAGGAAATCGACCTGCTTCGTACAATAACTGCTGATGACATAAACAGAAATTCATATTTTTGTTTGTCCTTTTTTCTGCAAACGTAAAAAAATAAAAAACATATCAAGCATATGTCGTTTAGGCACTCATGATGTGATAAAATCATGAGTGAGTGAGATAATAAAAAGAGTGCTTGCATTTCCCTCACATCCACCTCTGGATTTAGGCTTAACATTGCACAATATCACGTACATTTTTTGGAGATTATACATCTAGTCTTTTCTGTTTTGCATCATTTCAAGCTTCATTGCATATAGATTTCTTTGCCAGATTTCTCACACTAGCAAAGTAAATGTCAATTTAAATCTATAATACCGAATTAATTCATTAATTTATCCGCCCACTTGACCAGTCCTTACAGGTCGGGGCAAAATAAATTAGGAAGAAAGCACTCTTAACTTAAGAGATGATGAAGCACACTTACATACGATTAAAGCTTATCATCCACAGTGTTTTAAAAGCCTCAAATGCTTCAAACAAAACGTAAACCCCACTTATTTAAACCAGTCAGGTAACTGGAGCTTCTATACTTAAAAACTTTAAGTTTTAAACTTGTTTTATATATATATATATATAGAAGAATTAGCTTACTGTTGAAATGTAGCACCAACAATTTTTCATGGCAAGTTTTGGGTCTCTAGACTCTATGATGCACTTAAGAGAGAAAGACAAGAAATATCTGAACTAAAAAAAATACCCCCAGACCAGAGGCTGACCAATCGCTGTAATTCCCCTGGGAAGAAAAAGTGCAGTCACAGTTATCTCCAGGACCTAGGGTAGAAAAACCCTGTTTCACAATCTTCCTCTGATGCAGCTAGTGGGGCGACTCCAGCATCTCCATTAGGAAAGTGTCAATGGGGGTGTCTCCAATCAGTTTAAAGAAGAAAAGGTGCTCCAGACACTTAAGGCCAATGGAACGCAATGCAGGAAGTCGGAGGAGAAGCTTGGCAAACCTGGAAGCAAGCGAGCCGATTTTTTTTTTTCTTTTCTTTTGGCACCTCCCATACTCACAACTATATGTGACAGTAACATGACTGCTTATGACTTCTATGAATGACTGTGAACTACGCTTGAGGATTTCACATACAAAAATGTCAGTAAATCAGAAAAGAGATAATTTACGTGTAGTAGATTTATTTAGCGGCCGTTTACACAATGTTTTCATCCAAAAACGGGATACTTTTTATGCGTTTTGACTGTTCGTTTACATGACAACGGCGTTTTGGGGATTGAAAACGCATATTTTTGAAAACGGGTTTCAAAGTGCAAGTTTTTAAAAACGGCACCGTTGTCGTTTCCGTGTAAACACCCAAAACGGGAATCTTTGAAAACGGTGACGTCATGCGCATGCGTAGTACGTGTTAGGTATGTAGACATGCGCAGTACGTAGGGTTGCCATGCGAATAATACGGCATGCAAAATAATGTGTCCCTTATCAAATCGATACAGGACGCGATTTGTCCCATATTTTACAAAGGCCAAGGATTTTGCAGGGTGGATAATACTAATAGCAATTATAATGAAATAAATTTCATAAGAAGTATTAGAGAAGCTCATTTGCGCGTGATTGCATTTTGGCGTCTTTGTTTCTATTGCGACAGAGTCTCCAGAACGCGCGCCGATAAGGCTCTTTCACACGTAACGCAGCGTGCGGTAAACCTGCGTGCCTCACATCCGCCCGGTCCGCCCTTTGAACACAAGAGGCTCTCCAGATGTAGGGCTGGCAGTTTGCAGAGAAGCATTTCAGTTGCTCACGGTGTTCACCCAAAAATTTAAATTCTGTCATTGTTTACAGATCCACAAGTTGTTCCAAACCTGTAATATTTTCTTACTTCTGTTGAACATAAAAGAAGATACTTTGAAGAATGTGGTTAACCAAGCAGTTTCTGGTCCCCAATGACTCCGATAGTAGCCTATATGTTTTCCCCACTATGGAAGTTACTGGGGACCAGCAGCTGTTTAGTTACCCTTACCCACATTCTTCAAAGTAGTCTATCTTCTTTTGTGTTCAACAGAAGAAAGAACTTTATGCCTCCCTTATTTTGCCTCACTGAAGGTGGCAAGTAAGGCTCTTTCACACGTAACGCAGCGTGCGGTAAACCTGCGTGCCTCACATCCGCCCGGTCCGCCCTTTGAACACAAGAGGCTCTCCAGATGTAGGGCTGGCAGTTTGCAGAGAAGCATTTCAGTTGCTCACGGTGTTCACCCAAAAATTCAAATTCTGTCATTGTTTACAGATCCACAAGTTGTTCCAAACCTGTAATATTTTCTTACTTCTGTTGAACATAAAAGAAGATACTTTGAAGAATGTGGTTAACCAAGCAGTTTCTGGTCCCCAATGACTCCGATAGTAGCCTATATGTTTTCCCTACTATGGAAGTTACTGGGGACCAGCAGCTGTTTAGTTACCCTTACCCACATTCTTCAAAGTAGTCTATCTTCTTTTGTGTTCAACAGAAGAAAGAACTTTATGCCTCCCTTATTTTGCCTCACTGAAGGTGGCAACCCTAGCAGTACGGGTCAATTTTAAAGGCAAGCGTGAACAAACATACACAACAATGGCAGAGTATATGGTACTGTTGTTGCTGCTAAAGAGTTTGCTAACGCTTCTTCGGCAAAGTGTGGATTTACTTCAATATTACAACCAACAGCGGAGATCATATACATCATATAATCGTCAATTCCCTACAGGTACTGTTTACTAACAAGCTGACAGCACCAACTACTGGCCTGGCATACGTAATACAGCATTTTTGTCAGTTTTCGCAGATATGTGTAAACGCGAATCGTTTTGAAAACGTTGTCGTGAATACGTGAAACTTTTTAAAAACGCAAGGGGAAAAACTTTTCCGTTTTTGACTACATCGTTGTCGTGTAAACGTAGCCTTAAAGTCACAACACAAGATTAATTCTGAGGGTCAGCGAGACAGTGGACAAAGAATGAATCTTGCCCGATAGCATAATTTATTTGTATGCACAATATAAATTTCAGCATCTGCTTAAACTGGATTGCGAAAGCTGGGCGAATAAAACTGAACTGAAATACTATGTAGGTTTTTAGGGAATTCATTTCTGTACGAAAATACTCACCTCCCCTGCTGATCTGGGTATTTCTGTTTGCAATAGGCCTCCAGGGATGCGTACACTTTCTCTCTGAGAAGCTCCACCTCACTGCTGCTAGTCAGACCTTTGGCATCTAAGAAACAATGGAAAAATTTTGCACAAACATACACCATTCTTTGATGTCAAAGGAGAGTATAACATACAGTGGGGAAAATAAGTATTTAGTCAGCCACCAATTGTGCAAGTTCTCCCACTTAAAAAGATGAGAGAGGCCTGTAATTTTCATCATAGGTATACCTCAACTATGAGAGACAAAATGAGAAAAATTTTGCACAAACATACACCATTCTTTGATGTCAAAGGAGAGTATAACATATATGCTACCGAAATGCTAGTGAAAGTGTTTACATACACAGTGAGTTCAAAGTAATAGGCCAATATTTTGATGTGCCAGTCTGGTTTTACCTAAATTGTTAATGACCTTTACTTGATAATAAAACTGTTTAACCTTTTTTTTATGCATACAATGAATTTCAGTTGGGGCCAAAACAACATTGGACCCCACTGACTTTCACTGTATTAAAAAACATTTAAAAAAATATCTTCCTTTTGTTTTACACAGAGTAAAGCAAGTCAAACATGTTTGGAACAACATAAGGATGAGTAAATTATCTTCTTTCTTTTTTTTTTAGTTTAAACTATCCACTGAAAAATTACAATCAATCTTAAATATGCTTACCTGGGTTAAACAGAACTATGGCACGCAGACAGCCAAGTTCGGTTTTGTCCATTTGCATATCACGCATCTTACAGACCAGCTCAGTCAGCACCCTGCAGAGGTGTAAAAAATAAGACTAATAACCATTCTGCAAATGAGGTCTCAATCACTCCAACGACAGTATTGGGCTTCTATACCAAATAACATCCACACAGGTATGAAGTAAGCACAAATAAAGCCAAATATTACCTGTCAAATAAGGCTCCAACCTCTGCACTCTGTGCACTTTCCCTGTACAGAAATTATGAACATGTTAAACCTCTAAAATAACTATATTATTAAACAGTTGTAAACATAGAGTTCAGTGTGACCTGTCAAAAAAGGCCTCCACGCCCAAGTTGTGAGTGCTCTCTCTGGGCACATGTAGACCTGTGGCCAACAGAATCTCATCCTTCACGCTGATGGAGCGATGAGAGAAGGCAGCGATTAAGAGCTCATTCCATCCTGTTATAAAAATATCACAATCATATAGTAAAATGCTTTTCATGTACATTTATACATTTTCAATTTTATTTAAAAAAAAATGTTTTGGCCACTGAATCACATTGTTGTGTGACTTTCACTGTATTAAAAAACTTTTAAAAAAATATCTTCCTTTTGTTTTACACAGAGTAAAGCAAGTCAAACATGTTTGGAACAACATAAGGGTGAGTAAATTATCTTCTTTCTTTTTTTTTAGTTTAAACTATCCACTGAAAAATTACAATCAATCTTAAATATGCTTACCTGGGTTAAACAGAACTATGGCACGCAGACAGCCAAGTTCGGTTTTGTCCATTTGCATATCACGCATCTTACAGACCAGCTCAGTCAGCACCCTGCAGAGGTGTAAAAAATAAGACTAATAACCATTCTGCAAATGAGGTCTCAATCACTCCAACGACAGTATTGGGCTTCTATACCAAATAACATCCACACAGGTATGAAGTAAACACAAATAAAGCCAAATATTACCTGTCAAATAAGGCTCCAACCTCTGCACTCTGTGCACTTTCCCTGTACAGAAATTATGAACATGTTAAACCTCTAAAATAACTATATTATTAAACAGTTGTAAACATAGAGTTCAGTGTGACCTGTCAAAAAAGGCCTCCACGCCCAAGTTGTGAGTGCTCTCTCTGGGCACATGTAGACCTGTGGCCAACAGAATCTCATCCTTCACGCTGATGGAGCGATGAGAGAAGGCAGCGATTAAGAGCTCATTCCATCCTGTTATAAAAATATCACAATCATATAGTAAAATGCTTTTCATGTACATTTATACATTTTCAATTTTATTTAAAAAAAATGTTTTGGCCACTGAATCACATTGTTGTGGTTTTACTTTAGTGTCTTGTGCCATGAGTGTTGCATTTTAAGACACTTATCGGTTCTTTTCTATTCAACTGTACTCCATCTAGCTGTTTTTTTTAAAGGAAAAACACAACCTGTGTATACATCCTCTATTCCTCTTCAGAATGCTGAATACTTTGATATATACATATATTTTAGATAACTCTATTTTGATTAGCAAGGCCACTAAACAAGGCTGACAAGAGATTAAACCTTCAGTACCCAAACAGACAGCAGCAAAATGAGTGTGAGAATGTCAGGTGCTCGTACCAGCCCTGAGCAGAATGACTTGGTCATCCAGGGGCAGCTCAGAGAAGTGAGGGATTCTCTTGGCCCACTCCACCAGCGTGAACAGCTGTTTGTCTGCAGCCTGACAGATGTTAGTGACTGGATCATTGGGCTGGAGAACAGAGAAGTCACAGAGTCAGTGGAGGAGAGAGTTAAGAGCAAATGCCTCTGGCACTTCTGGACAACATAAAGAGAATTTGTGAACTGATAAACGTCAGTGCTTTATTCTTTGTCAATCTGTCTGTGGGGATATTCAACTCCAAACACTGAGAATTCAAAAGATCCTAATCTCTACACCAGCTCTGGGAATACCAGCATTTAAAGAGCTTTAAATAAGGGCTGTGTTTCACCCAACAGTAAACTGACTTTGCCAGGCAACAGTTGGCAGCAATCAATGCTTGGCATAACTTTGCAAAATAATTGCTTACAACCTTTTAACCAACCTCTGCAACTTCCATTTCAAGGCAACTGCTGACAATTAGCATGTTTACATGAATGCCAATATTCTGATAACTTCCAAATATTAGCTTTCTGAAATAACCCATTGTACCAGATTATCATGCAAATCAATAACCCGGTAATGCAAGTAAAGCATGTTAAAAATCAGGTTATACTCTGGTAGTGACATCAAAATATATTCATTTGTGTATCTGACTCAGAGTATTCCATTTGTTATGCGAGTTGTGATGTTAAAGTAGGGTTGGACGATATGGCCAAAATTTATATCACGATATATTTCTTAATTTCGGTCGATACGATATAATTCCGATATCGATATGAACACTATTAAAAAAGCCTCATAAAAATGGCCAAGAACGGCCACAAAAGATGTCTGTACCTACAAACTTATGAAAAATTAATTTGCCAACTCTATGAAACCTACTCCTATAAAACTATATCATATTTTAGGGAAAAAAATGGTGCAAATAAATAAATGTTCACCTTTTATTGGTATTTAGCCTTCATACAAACAAGAAATGTGAAATCACTGTCAAATAAATCTCAGACTCTCCTTATTAATATTAATATTTTTTACTTCAAACTATAGGCTAACATACCAGTCAAAAGTTTTTGAACAGTAAGATTTGTTATGTTTTTTTAAAGAATTCTCTTCTGCTCACCAAGCCTGCATTTATTTGATCCAAAATACAGCAAAAACAGTAACATTTTGAAATAATTTTACTAT